GTCTGCAGGAGTTCCACCCTTGTTTTCCGCATGGCATATCAAGCTGCCTGCGGCCTGTCCCGCCACATTGCCAGCGCAGCAATCTGGGTGGCGACCGTTTGAGGAGCGCTCAGGAAGCCGTAACGTGTGGCACCTCGTGCCCCGAGGCTTGGGAGAGCCGTGGCTCTGCGGAGCCTGAGGTCATGAGAACGATGCGTTCCAAGACTTCCGCGACTTCCAAAACACTTCCCAACGTTCCACACGGGCTGCAGAAATGATGGTTGCTAGATCTCCCGCAGCTCCCGGAACGCATCCTGATCCGTGCTAGTATCATGCTAGTACCTCGTGCTAGTATCACATGCTGGTACCAGGTGCTAGTATATTATGTGCTAGTGCTAGTGCTGGTATCGTGTGGCACCACTCCCGCGCTAGTATAGTGTGGCACGGTCTTCCGCGTCGTTATAGCGTGGCACGGTCTTCCGCGTCGTGTCAGGGTTTCTCTCCTCGCCGTTCGCAGTCGTGTTCCGCTCGTCCTCTTGTTCCCTCCTCCCCTCTTGGGCGACCTGCCTCTTCAGCGGCAGGCCAGTTCAGCTTCCAGCTTCCTCTAATGGGCCTCTTGGGGCTGCAACAAAAAATCTGGGGACTATTTTTTGACCATTTTTGAATATTTTGGGGGGGTATTTGGGAAGTATTTCTTCCGTCCAAAATCCCCCTGCAGGGGGACAGGCCCGACTTAAGGCTTCTTTGTGAGCGCTTGGAGGCCTCCTGGGAGCATGTCGAGGACGCTTGAGCGCTCCTGTGGCTGTCTCAGGGCGCTCTTCGGCAGTCTAGCACATTCGGCAGTCCGTCTGGGGGGCCACTCTGGGCCGTCTTGGGGCTATACTGCGGCTCTGAAGGATCAGGCGGTAGATGACGAGCCAATAGTGCTAAGTTTGTTATGTTTTCGTTCCCTGACGAACTTTGCATGCATGCAGGTTCATAGCGGTAGAAAGGTTGCTATGAATTTGCATGCACGCAGGTTCGTAGTGTTTTTTTGTCGCTGTTTTCATCCTCATCCTCGCCTCCATCACCGCCATCGTCGCCATCATCGTTAGCGTCATCACCATCATCGCCGTCGTCATCGTCATCCAACTTCCTCATCCTCACCGTCATGATTGGATTTGCCTCATCATCGCCACCATCGTCATCATCATCTCCATCATCTTCGTTCTCGTCGAAGCTATTGCTGCCTCATCGTTATCATGACCGTCCCCATCGTCAGCCTCTCTTTCCCCCATCGCCATTACGTATCCAGCTGCCTGCGGCAAGTCCCGCCACCGTACCAGCCTAGCATCATCGGTGGCAGTTGCTCGAATTGATGAGGACGATGTTGACCATGATGATGATGTTGCTGTTGATGATGATGTCGATGCTGATGCTGATGATGATGACGTCGACGATGACGATTATGATGATGATTGTGATGGTGACGATGACGGCGACGGTGCTGATGCGGATGTGGATGTTGATGCTGTGATGGTGATGAGGATGATGGTGATGGCGATAGTAATGTCGATGATGATGATGGTGAACATGTTGATGGTGACGGTGATAGTGATGGTGATGATGATTATGACGATGACGATGACGATGACGATGACGATGACTATGACGATGATGGTGATGATGATGATGATGGTGGTGACGATGACCAGAGGATGATGCTGGGGATGGGGAGAGGAAGCATTGTGATGATGAGGAGGACTGTGCCGCACGCGAGAGATGAACAGCATGACAACGGCGATGATAATGATGATGACGACGATGATGATTATAATGATGACGGTGATGATGATGGTGGTGATGATGATTATGATGATGATCGCGATGATGGTGGTAGTGGTGGTGGACGTGGTGGTGGTGGTGGGGATGCTGATGATGTTGATGATGCTGATGATGATGGTGGTGGTGGTAGTGGTGATTGTGATGGTGATGGTGATGGGGATGACAATGATGATGCTGCTGCTGATGATGACGATGTCGATGAGTATGGTAATGTTGTTGGTGATGACGATGGCGATGGCGATGATGACGATGACGATGACGACGACCATGACGACGATCACGATGATGATGATGATGTTGATGATGATGGTGGTGGTGGTGACGATGATCATGAACGGGACGAGGACGAGGATGGTAAAGGTGATAATGATGATGCTGATGATGATGATCCGGATGGGGAAGGAGGAGGAGGAGCTTTTTGCCTGGATGTTAGCTATTTCTGCAATATGTTCCGTTAGGGTCTCCTGATTCCGTGAAGGTAGGTTTCGTGAGGAATGCGCAGGCTCCAACGAGGGCATGGCAGGGGAGTTCAGCGGATAAGAGAGATGTGTGGTAGGGAGGAGGCCGGCCGGCCGACGACACGACGACGACAAGGGAGACGCCGCTCGGCGCGCGCGCGGCGGCACGCTCCTTTATCCTTGATCTTCCTAGTTGTGAAGATGGCTGCGGATGGCCCATGTGCGCATAAAAAGGGCAAGGAGGAGCAGCGGTATGGTGAGGGTGCGGAGAGGAGCGTACAAATTCCCCCCGCGGCGGGATGAGTGGGCCTGCGTCAGCCTACACCCACTCGGCCTGTAATCCTCGGGAGCCAACCCCAAAACACACATGTTAAAGCTCAACCGAGGCACCGAGGGACGATGGGCCGAGGCAGCCCGACGCACCCCACGAAGCTACATCCGCGCGTCAGCTCAGATCTCGAGGATCTTCTCCGCCTGTCCTCACGCACGCCGCATCGGCGAAGCCGAGCGGTGTTGGTCTGGGAACGGCTTAGTCGTACCAGAACATCTGCATTCGTTCATCTCCACCAGCTATCGCATCGCCATTGCTGATGGTTCCAGTCGCGGTTCCACTGCCTACTCCATTGGGCCTGATCGTAAGGGCATTGTCCTCTGCGGTCCTTGCCTTTTCCCGTACCCTTGTCAATGCCCTTGTCCTTGTTCTTGTTCTTGCCAGCCGCCTTTGCTTTCGGCGCCACGTCGCCCCCGTGCAGCCTGGCGTCGGTGTATCCTGCAGGTCGAATTGGTAGTTCAGGCGCGGCCGGCGGCGGCGTAGGTGGCGCAGCAGAGTCAGCGCAGAGATTGCTGCACGTCGGCAAGTCGAACCACTTCCATGCGTCGGAACTGCCAGCCTTCAGACCGTGGCGGCTGACGCGGGCCCAGTAGCCGCAGATGCTGCCGCGGTTGTCCTTGTCAGGGTAGCCCCGCGAAATGTCCCAGCCGCCGCCGTAGCGGCAGCTGCCCTCGTCGCTCGCAGGCGCGCAGCGCCGCTCCAGCTCGCCCGCCCGCACGGGCTGACCCCTCTCGCCCGTTGCCACGAAGGGCGCCGCCGACGCGGCGCCCCTCGGGGGCTCGGCGGCCGTCGCGGCTGAGCCGGCGGATGCCGCGCCCTCGGGAACAGGGGGGGTTCTGGGCCCCCGCGGCGCGCGAGGCGGCTTGGCAGGGTCGGCCTTTGCGCGGACTTCGCCGCGCAGGCTGGATCTGCACGCTGTCGCCCGAGACCAATTCGACCGCGCAACATCGCGGGGCTGCGAGGGGCGTCTCTGGGGCGTCGCGGGTGCACGCGCGCCTTCGCCCTTGCCTCCTTTCGCTTCCCCTCGCCCTAGATCATCGGGCGTTCTCGGTTGGGCTCCTGAAGAGGGCCCAGGGGGCGGCGGAGACTCTGATGCCATGACTGCGTCGGCCCCCGAAGCGGCGGAGCCGCCGGAGGCCTCGGCGGGCAGATCGGCTGAGCCGACCGCCGAATTCCGACAGCCGTGGTTGCGACAACAGGACCACAACGACCCGTGGCAAGGCGTCTCTCACTAGGGTCAGCGCCACCTTCTGAGGTGAGAAACGCCAGGCATTCTGGATTTCACCATAGACGCGTCGAACTTCGCAACGCGCTCCCGGGCCGGGGCCTTCTGTCCATTCCTCCGCCAGATCTGACGATTGAATCGCCGACCTGATGCGGCAGTCGAGCGCGCAGGCGTCGATCCGCCGCCGCTTAGGGCCGAGCCCCCCAGCTTGCACAAGACGGCTCACATCTTGGTTGGGAAAGGCGACGTGCAGACCATCAACGACGAAGGAGGGCATTATCTCTTGCACTATCTCCCCGCCTCCACGGGGGGCGAGGTCAAGCCAGCGCTGCGTCCCCGAAAAGGGATCTGATCCAGAACGGTTCCACCCGATGCGCCGTGGGATCGCGGATCCTGCTTGGGGCGCAACGCCCCGGGGCCGTTCGGCAATCTTGTTGCGTCTTGACACTGACTTGGAGGTTCGATAAGGGCGGTTGCCTAGGGGCGCAACCGCATGCGGAGGATTGGGCTGGCAGCTGGGCTCCCTGCGTTCGCGGCCGGCTCATCGCCGCGATTTAATCGCGCGATGATCGTCTGGATCGCGGGAACTTCGCCCTCCGCCTCTTTGCTCTCTGCCCAAATGTCCCGCCCGTCAGGAGGCACAACCTGTTCGTCATCGAGATTCGGCCAGTCGAAGACGGAGAGAGCAGGGCACTTGAGGGGGCGGGCAAGCTGGTCGACCCCGAAAGACCACGCAAGGGGCCACCATTCTGCTGTGGTGGGAGGCGGCCGCCTCCCGCGATTCGCCGCGTGCTCGAGCCGGCCCGCGAAGCGAAGCTTCAGGGGTTCGAGGAATTTGAGGGAAGGCTCACGGCGTGCGGGCGGCTGAGCCGCTTCACAGGTTGGCTTCCAGGCTGGAGCGGCGCCTGGCTGCCGGTTATCGAACGCCTGGCCGCCAGCGGCCAGACGAAGGCGAATGTCGTCCTGATTATCAACCCATGTTCGCATATGCTGCTCTGTCTTTGTGAGATTGTTCATTGCGCCCGTGGAACTCTTCCGCTGGCGCTTCAGGCGCTCTTTGTTCACCGCAGGCTCGTCTTTGTTGAAATTCGGAGGGTCCGCGGCAACGAGCTCCATGCCTGCCCTCCAGAGTGCCTCCGCAATAGCCTTCGTGCCGGGGTTGGTGAGATAACTTTCCCGCGCG